GTTAGCCATACCTCAGATAATATCATCTTGGTTGTACATTTGAAAATGTTTAAATTTTCTTCCCCAGCCCCGAAGGCTCAGTTTGGATTGGTGTGTATGTTAATGTGAATCCATGACATTATGTGGAATTCTACCCCTTTGGTGGCTGGGCTACAATGTGTTAGAAGTCGGGAGAAAAGATAAGAACTTTCTGATGGAATTAAAAGACAGAGGTGAGAAAGGGTTTAGAGGTAAAAGGACAGGGAGTCTGTAGCATTTGTTGAGATCTAAGGGTGTGTTGGCTTCACCTCTCTTTTTATCTCCCCCTGCCCTCATTCTTGAACAGCTGGAGGGACACATTTTATTCTGCCTGTCCAGCATACCCTATGAAACTGGAGTGCTTAAAAATACTTCTGTGACACTGTTACCCACTGTATGGATCGGCGGGGAGTGACCACTTAGAGGGAAATATTGGAGAAGTAAAGAGGAATCATTGAACAGTCATCCGGGCCGAGTCCCACTGTCAAAAATATTCTTGTTCCCCAAACCCTTTGTGCTTCCTCTCCTAAAGGTAACCATGGCAGGGAACAGATCTGTCTTTTCACAACGAAACTTCTGATGTGTATTTTAAAGAGTTGGCCTTGTGATAGGGGAAACTTAATTTGGAAATTTTATGAGTTGAAAATGGCAAAAGCCCTAATCCAAATACTGAATGCTGGACATAAAGACAATTTAACTGAAGAAAAATGTACCAAATTTATTTATTTTCCTGAGTAATCATTTTTATGAAGTTCTGTGGAATACAAATGTTTATCTTATATTCAGAAATGTGGTCAAAAAAGGTATTGCTAATAGTTACAGGCGTCCTCAAACTATGACCTGTGGGCCGCATGTGGCCCACCTAGGACATTTATCCGGCCTGCCGGGTGTTTTTGCCGCCACTGCCTGTCCTGCTTAGCAGCCGACTTGTCCTGGGGCCCGCAGTCGGCCCTCCAACGGTCTGAGGGACAGTGAACTGGCCCCTGTTTAAAAAGTCTGAGGACCCCTGAGTTAGAAGTATGACTTTCAGAATGAGAGTAAAGGAGTTGTGTGGTTTGCATTTAAGCATGTTTAAACTATACTTATAAATTTTCTCCCCTTACAACAAAGTATGGTTTATTTTGATGCACAAATGCAAAGTGAAAATATATCAGAATTGAACTTACTGGCACATAGATCGCTTTGTTTTAATGGGAAAAACTATAGAAATACATTCTATATAGTATATAAAAACCTATCCCTTAATTAAACATCATATGTATAATCTAGTATTTTATTATAAATCCAATTTTCCAATCAAATATTGTTTGCATTTAATGCATGATTTAAAAAATATAATATGAAATGCTACAAATGTTTTAATGAATTTATGCTTTAAAATACTACTGGTTTAAACAAAACAATGACATTTGTAAACAAAGATACCCAATTCTTACTCAACTGGCATATCACCTTATGTCCAAAGTACAGAGCCAAAAATATTCCCCTGGTTTATTCTAATCTATTGTTAAGAATTGTGTATTGTATATCAAGTTCTTTGAGCACATGAAGAATTTAAGCTGTAAAATGGGAGACTAATAAATAATGTTCCTAAATGGGCAAGAAAAAGATGATAATTATGGTTAACGAACTAAATTAATGCATAAGCACTGTAGGCTAAATGTTTCTCCTAGTTTACAGTAAACTACAAATAGCATGTCTTGTACTGATAGCTTGATTTGATTAATATATGAAGGTTAAAGTAGGATAGCTATCAAATATGTCCTACACGAGTCAGAAATTATTAATTTCAAAATTTAAAGCTAAGTTAAAAATTACAAAAATTAAATTAAAGTTACCTTTAATTTAATGGCCATATACATTACATTTAGTTCGTGCTCAGTAAAGCATAAAGTTATCTGAATTAATTAAATGAACTTATGTACAGAAAACACGTACAAATATATCTCCTTACTAATACAGCTTTCCAAGAGCGTTTTTGCTTCTGTAATTTTTGATTAGTTCCATGTAACTAGCCCCATGTAATAGCAAAGAAAGATATTAATTACTATTATGTTCGTCCAAATTTAAAAAATCAATACATTTTACATTTATATTCAGGAACCCAATTTGCCCCTACTACAGACGCCAAACATCTTCAGACTGACCTGCCAGTTTTATTAATTACATCATATTTAAGATATTCTTCATTTAGAACATCTATAGAGACAAATAGAAGTTCCAAATAAGATGTAATAATATGGTGGTTTACTGTATAAACTCTTCCTTCACTTCCTTCTAAGGAAACTAACTGGAGAGTGTGGGTGTATGTCAATGACCTTGGTTCTTTCTGATGAGTTAGAGTGGTCCAGCAATTCAAAATCAGGTGACAATAATAAGGGATACTGATAAAAATTATTCCCAAATATATATATGTAAACATAGATATATATGTGTATACATATGTATACATATATTTACATAGAATCTAAGACTTCTATTTCTCCTACTTTTAAAATGTTTTTTTTCTTGTAACTGAAAATGAAACATCATAAACTGATAGGTAAATTTTCTATAAAGTTGAAATAGCAAACTAAATGTTTTCTTACCATTAACTTTTTAAAAAAATAAATGTATTTTATTTTAGATTTTGTTTTTGCAGTTTTTGGCCGGGGCTGGGTTTGAACCCACCACCTCTGGCATATGAGGCCAGAGCCCCTTGAGCTCCAGGCACCGCCCACCATTAACATTTTTTACTCTTTCAAAGGAGGGAGGGACTAAGCTATGACTTCTCACATTTTCAGTAACAAAATGAAAGTATGACACTAACCAAAAATGTAAATTCTGGCACCATTTTTACAATTATGACAAATTGCCTACAGGGCTAATTTTAGTAACAGAAGCCGTATCGGAGACTTGGCTATAGCAGGAAGCAAACCAATAAAACTCATGGGAGGATTTCTACGCCTCCCTGAAGATGTATTCCACTGCCCCATCTAAATTTTGATTATGTAAAATCTATTTTTAAGCCAAGGAACTTTATAAAAAATTTTGAAAGGAAGGAATGGTTTAGGTAAGTCAACAGGGACTACTTATTTTTCTTTTAGTAGTCAGACTGATTGACCAGTTTTTGAAATCAATTATCGTATGATTAGGTGTTAGCGGAGAAACAAGTTACCCCCTCCATCTTGCTCTTTGCCCTCTTTGAAAATCTTAGGGCAGAGAAAGGATCAGAGTCAACCTGAGTCAAGTCAGTGGAGGCACTTTTAAATCTGTGAATCCCGTACTACATTAAGTCTGTCAATAAGCCACAAATCATCAATCAATATTTAAGTAATTTTATTTAAGCAAGTAATGCAAATGCTAGATTATAAATCAAGAGCTCTTATTGGCTTTTGAATTTATTAAGTTGTTTTCATCTTATGCCCTAGACATCATAGGTCACTCTCTCGCCCCCGTTTGGTCCTCTGTCTTTTGATTCTAACATTATTTCCAGCTTTGTCATCAACACTTTTCTGAGTTTTAACATGTTAAGAGTTCTATGAACTAAAAGTCAAAATCTAGATGAAACTATACATGAAAAAGCACCTGTCGATGATGTAATAAACGTGGGTATTTTTAAAAGACCTTATTTTAGTTCAACGAAAAAAACTCAGTGTGAGTTTGGATCAAGAGATTTACAAGATGGGGATCAATCCTGGGCTTAGCATTTTATGAGGTTCTGGGAAAATGTGAATTAATCTGGAAGTGACTAGTCAATGTAGTAGTATCACTGTTGATAATAAATAGCTTCAGGACCTTAATTGAACGTGTAACTTTAAATACCTGTTTTGTAATTAAAATTTCACATTCTACATGAAGCCTTCTGGAAATTCATGAAGGAGTGTGAGCAATCTCATCGCGACAGCCTCCACCACATGAGGATGGCTCAGGACACACCTTGCCTCCACCATTCCCTTACCATCCCAAGAAATCAGGAAATGTTTTCTGAGGTCTTGCCTTGTACACAGTGCTCAGATGGTGAGACATTCTTTTACCCTCTCAGTCCTTTTTTGGTATGTTCTTTGTGGATGTTGACATGAACATTTGCATTTTGCACTTCTGGAGGGACTGTACCTGCTCTCACTGCACATAGCCCCACTTCAGATCCGTCTAATAAAAAGAACCCAAGAAATGCTCTTAGCTGACAGCAATTTTGAATCATGTGTCTTTGTGACTTAAACACTTCGTGGAAGCTAGTGAGCATATGCTATTTGTTCAAAAATTCTTTTAGAAGGGATATGCATGCTGAGTAAGATTAATTAGATAAAGACAACGATGATGGACAAGAGAATTTCATGTTAGCTGTGAAATGCCTCCGATAATAAGAGAACACCCATTGCCACTCGCTGCACTGGAACTTCTCAAACACTGATCTTGAGACCAAACTGAAAATACTAGGCACCTGCAGCCGCATCTACGCATTAATAAATTGATCATTGTGAGACACTTCAATTTTTTTGGCAATCATAGAAGTAGGTTACTATGCAAATCCCAAATCCCAGTGACTTTGCTCTTTGTAGGCTGAATAGTCCAGTAGGATGTCAGTAGGTGTCAGTGGGAGGGTGAAGACATTTTTTTTTTGGTAATTTATTTCTAGATGTGTTTTCCCCTTTTCTAAGATAACTCTCTCAGAGAAGACTGACTTTTGTTCTGTATCCCACAGGGAGATTAGAGAATGCATAATCACACAGTGACGGGTCCAGTTCCAGTGTGTTTCTCATTAAATTCTCTGTTGTTCCCTCAGTGGGAAACCAGAAAATTTATCAGATTTTCATACAGGGAAGTAAACTTCTG